AATTGTTTCTCATCTGCTTGAACAGACACACGCACACGGATTTTCTGTTCCTATCTCTCTTCCGCCTCAGATGGATTTACCCGTACGTTTTTTTTATCTTTTTCCTTTTTTTTTTTTTTTTTTTTTTTTTGTACCCGTATGTCTTACGCGTGTTTGTTCTATATACGGATGTTTCGTTTCTATATTTGAGAACTCAACTGGAGTAGCTGGAGTGGATGCGTACAATCGTTTATTATCCGCCCAACATATTCACCCTCATTTTACTCTCCCTCTCTCTCTCTCTCTCTCTCTCTCTCTCTCTCTCTCACTGTTCCTTTGCATAAAGCAGACACAAAGGTCTGAACACAATGTTCTTACCCCAGCTCACTCTTTCTCACACCCGTTTTTATTTATGCATTTATTGTTATTTATTCCGGTTCCACCCTTTCGATTCCTCTACACTAAATTCATTTTTATATCTATCTATCTATCTATCTATCTATCTATCTATCTATCTATTTATCTATCTATCTATCGCACACTGGTAATATCTCAAACTGTTTTTCATCTATCTATCTATCATACTCTGTTCATTTTCTATCTATCTATCTATCTATCTATCTATCTATCTATCTATCTTTCGTGATTTTATATTCCATACTTCCATTTTTTAAAACTATCTTCTTTTTCTTTTTCCTTTCTTTCTTTCTTTTTAAAAATTATCTTTCAATGTGTTCTTTCTTTCTTTCTTTCTTTCTTTCTTACTTTGTTTGTTTCTTTCTTTTTCGCCACCCTTTTTAAAAATTATCTTTCTGTTCATTCTATCTTTTTTCCCTCTTTCTTAATTTCTTTCTTTCGTTTGACCTTTCTTTTTTTGAAATTATATTTCTATGCATTCTTCCATTTTTAAAAAATTATTTTTCTATACATTCTGCTTTTTCTTTCTTTCTTTCTTTCTTTCTTTCTTTCTTTCTTTCTTTCTTTCTTTCTTTCTTTCTTTCTTATTCGACTTCAGTTTCTATCATTATCTTTTTTCTTTCTTTCTTTATTTTTCGAATTGAGTTTGTAAAATTGTCTTTGTTTCTTTGTTTTCCGACGTCAGTTTTTTAAAATTATTTTAATTCCTTCTATTCTTTTCGACTTCAATTTGTAAAATTAGATTCCTTTCTTTCTATTTTCTTTTTCGATTTCAGTTCAAAAATGTTCTTTTTTTCTTTCTTTTTCGACATCATTTTTTAAAATTATCTTTCTTTCTTCCTTTTTCGACTTCCTAATCGAAAATTATCTTTCTTTCTTTTTCGAATTAAGTTTTTAAAATTATCTTTTTCTTTTCTTTTTTTTTTCTTTCTTTCTTTCTTTCTTTCTTTCTTTCTTTCTTTCTTTCTTTCTTTCTTTGTTTTTCGACATCAATTTGTAAAATTTTCTTACCTTCATTCTTTTAACATTGTCTTTCTTTCTTTCTTTTTCGACTACAATTTCTAAAATTTTTGTTTCTTTCTATCTTTCTTTCTTCATTTCTTTCTTTTTTGATTTCAGTTTCTAAAATTATCTTTGTTTATTTCTTCCTTTTTCGACTTCCTAATCGAAAATTATCTTTCTTTCTTTCTTTTTCGAATTAAGTTTCTAAAATTATCTTCCTTTCTTTCTTCCTTTCTTTCTTTTTCCAATTCTTAATCTAAAATTATCTTTCTTTGTTTTCCGACATCAGTTTCTAAAATTATCTTTCTTTCTTTCTTCCTTACCATCTTTCCATCTTCATTTCTTTCTTTTTCGAGGTCAGTTTTTGAAATTATATTTCTTTCTTTCTTCCTATTTTTCTTTTTCGAATTCATTCTGTAAAATTATCTTTCTTTCTTTTTCTATTTCAGTTTTTAAAATTATCATTCTTACTTTCTTTCTTACTTTTTGCACTTTAGTTTCTAAAATGATCTGTTACTTAAATTATGTTTCTTTTTTCTTTCTCTCTTTCTTTTTCCATTTTACTTTCTAAAATTATCTTTCCTGACATTTTTTCGAATTCAGTTAGTAAAATTATCTTTCTTTCTTTTCCGACATCACTTTCCAAAATTGTCTTTCTTTCTTTTTTCTTTCTTTCTTTTTCCATTTTAGTTTCTCAAATTATCTTTCTTTCTTTTTCGACTTCATTTTCTAAAATTAACTTTCTTTCTTTCTTTCTTTCTTTCTTTCTTTCTTTCTTTCTTTCTTTCTTTCTTTTTTTCGTGCTTTCTTTCTTTCTTTTTCGAATTGTGTTTGTAATATAATCTTTGTTTCTTTCTTTTTCGACATCAGTTTTTTAAAATTATCATACTTTTTTCTTTTTTTTCGATTTCAATTTTTATAATTAGATTTCTTTCTTTCCGTTTTTTTTTTCGACAACAGTTCTAAAATTTTCTTTCATTCTTTCTTTTTACTCTCAAGTTTGTAAAATTATCTTTCTTTCTTTCTTTCTTTCTTTCTTTCTTTCTTTCTTACTGTTTCGACTGCAGTTTCTAAAATGATCTTTCTTTCATTCTTTTTCGATTTCACTTTCTAAAATTATTTTTCTTTCTTTCTTTCATTTTCGACTTCATTTTCTAAAATTAACTTTCTTTCTTCCTTTCTTTATTTCTTTCTTATTCAATTCAGATTCTAAAATCCTTCTTTCTTTGTTTTTCGACTTTAGTTTGTAAAATTATCTTTCTTTTTTTCTTTTTCGACTTCAGTTTCTAAAATTATGTTTCTTTCTTTCTTCCTATCTTTCTTTTCCGACTTCAATTTCTAAAGTTATCTTTCTCTCTTTCTTTCTTTTTCGATTTCAGTTTTTAAAATTATCTTTCTTTCTTTCTTTCTTCTTTTTTTTCTTTTTCGACTTTTGTTTCTAAAATTATCTTTCTTTTTTCGACATCAGTTTGTAAAATTGTCTTTCTTTCTTTCTTTTTTGACTTTAGTTTAAAAAATTATCTTTCTTTCATATTCGACTTCAGTTTCTAAAAGTATCTTTCTTTATTTCTTTTTTTTCGTCTTCCGTTTGTAAAATTATCTTTCTTTCTATTTTGACTTCAGTTTCTAAAATTCTTTCTTCCATTCTTTCTTTCTTCCTTCCTTTCTTTCTTTTTCGACTTCAATTTCTAAAATTATGTTTCTTTCTTCTTTGGCTTCAGTTTCTAAAATTGTCTTTCTTTCTTTCTTTTTCGACTTAAAATTAACTTTTTTTCTTTCTTTCTTTGTCGGCTTTAGTTTCTAAAATGATATTTCTTTCTTTTTTTTACGTCATCAGTGTGTAAAATTATCTTTCTTTCTATTTCGACATCAGATTCTTAAATTATCTTTCTTTTTTTCGACTTCAGGTTGTAAAATCATATTTCATTCATTCTTTTTCAACATCAGTTTTTAAAATTATCATTCTTTTTTTTTATTTTTCGTCTACAGTTTCACAAATTATCTTTCTTTCTTCCTTTTTCGACATCAGTTTCTAAAATTGACTTTCTTTCTTTTTCTACTTCAGTTTGTAAAATTATCTTAAATTCCTTTTTTTATTTTTCGATTTCAGTTACTGAAATTATCTTTCTTTCTTTTTTGACTTTAGTTTCAAAAATTATCTTTCTTTCTTTCTCATTCGACTTCAATTTCTAAAATTATCTTTCTTTCTTTCTTATTTGACTTCAATTTCTCAAATTATCTTTCTTCCTTTTTTTCTTTTTCGACATCAGTTTGTAAAATTATCTTTCTTTTTTGACTTCAGTTTCAAAATTATTTTTCCTTCTATTTCGACATCAGTTTCTGAAATTATCTTTCTTTCTTTTTCGACTTCAGATTCTAAAATTATCATTCTTTCTTTCTTTCTTTCTTTTTTTTTTTGATTTCAGTTTCTAAAGTTATCTTTCTTCCTTTCTTTCTTTCTTTTTCGGCTTCAGTTTGTAAAATTATCTTTCTTTCTTTCTTTCTTTTTCGACTTCAGTTTCTAAAATTGTCTCTCTTTCTTTCTTTCTTTCTTTTTCGTCCTTTGTTTCTAAAATTAACTTTCTTTCTTAAAATATTATCTTAATTTCTTTCTTTCTTTTTCGATTTCAGTTACTGAAATTATCTTTCTTTCTTTATCTACTTCGTTTCCTAAAATTATCTTTCTTTCTTTCACTTTTTCGACTTCACTTTGTAAAATTAACTTTCTTTCTTCATTTTTGACTTCTAAATTTCTAAAAATTTCTTTCTTTCTTTTTTGACTTCCATTTGTAAAATTAACTTTTTTCTTTCTTTCTTCCTTTTCGACTTATCATTCTTTCTTTCTTTTTTTGACTTCAGTTTCAAAAATTTTCTTTTTTTCTTTTTTCTTTATTTCTTGTTCGACTTCAGTTTCTAAAATTATTTTTCTTTCTTACTTTTTCCCCTTCAGTTTCTAAAATTATCTTTCTTTCTTACCTTTTCCCCTTCAGTTTCTAAAATTATCTTTCTTTCTTACCTTTTCCCCTTCAGTTTCTAAAATTATCTTTCTTTCTTACCTTTTCCCCTTCAGTTTCTAAAATTATCTTTCTTTCTTACCTTTTCCCCTTCAGTTTCTAAAATTATCTTTCCTTTTTTTCTTATTTCGCTTCAATTTCTCAAATTATCTTTCTTTCTTCCTTTCTTTTTTTCCTTTTTCGACTTCAGTTTGTAAAATGATCTTTCTTTCTTTTTTGACATCAGATTCTAAAATTATCTTCCTTCCCTTCTTTCTTTCTTTCTTTCTTTCTTTCTTTCTTTCACTTTTTGGCTTCAGTTTCTAAAATTATGTTTCTTTCTTCTTTGGCTTCAGTTTCTAAAATTTTCTTTCTTTCTTTTTCGACTTCAGTTTTTAAAATGATCTTCCTTTTTCAACTTCAGTTTCTAAAATTATCTTAACTTCTTTCTTTTTCGATTTTAGTTACTGAAATTATCTTTCTTTTTCTACTTCCTTTTCTAAAAGTATCTTTCCTTCACTTTTTCGACTTAAGTTTCTAAAATTATTTTTCTTTCTTTCTTTCTTTCTTTCTTTCTTTCTTTCTTTTCTTTCTTTCTTTCTTTTTTGACTTCCGCTTCTATAATTATCTTTCTTATTTTCTTTCTTTCTTCTACTTTCACCCTCCTTTCTTTAAAATTATCTTTCTATTTTAATAAATAGACGGCGTCACACTCTTAACATTAGCTTAGAATCATTCATATAAAAACGTTACAACGGTCAATTCTTGTCTACCGATAAGCACGTGCATGAGATCCCATAGTTGCACCAAACGTTGAGAAACAAAATGTATATTTATTATTAGCGTAAATATTAGATCGGTTATTTTAAATTAAGCACTGTTTTACTACCACCAGCACCCAATCTACGCTTTTTTATGTATATCATCTATATTATATATATATATATATATATATATATATATATATATATATATATATATATATATATATATATATATATATATATATATATATATATATATATATATATATACCTGCAGAACTTCTTCATACCAGTGTTAATGACCGCAGTTCTACTTATAAGGAGTTGACCCAGTTAGCAAAGATTTCTTGTTCAAAACTTTATTTATTCCAAATCTTACTTGACTGAATAAATTTCAAAATTCTAAATAATAATAATGATAACAATAGTCGAAGCAGTATTAGTAGCAGTAATAAAGATATATTCAAAATGTAAAAAATTAATTTAAATATTTCTTAAAAATGAGACATAAAAATATTTCGTTGACTGCTAAAATATTTCTCTATTTAATTGTTAGTAATACTAATTAAAGTAAATATTTATGTTATATGAGATCGCAACAAAGTAAATTTAATGAACATTCATTTTTCTTCGTAGAAAAAAAAATGAAAATCGGCTTTTGAATATTTTCAGATATCTATATCTTTATTATCCACGGCTTTTCCAATCTGCATTGGATCTCGGAATCTGTTTATTGTAGATATTGAGGTAGATCACACAATGTCTGTAAACTATCTTCGTCTCTCTCTCTCTATCTCTCTCTATCTCTCTCTCTCTCTCTCTCTCTATATATATATATATATATATATATATATATAAGCAAATATATGGATATAGATCCGACAGTATGAAGAAAAATATACTGAAAAAAGAAACAAAAATCCTAATATGCGATTATGCTGTTTTAATGTTTAATGTCAACGTCGGACGTTTCGGTTTAATAGACCATCTTCAGGACATATTCATAAAACATAATTAACATAGACGATGACGTGATCATATTTAAACGAAACGCTGATCTTATAAAAGGTTTCAGTTATCTGTTTGGGTTGGTATTGCTTTTATGTCCATCGTCTTTTTCATGTTGAATTGTATATGGTCTATATCACTCTTCAGTATTTGTCTATATATCTGAGATGAAGTATTATGTACACTATTTACATTATTCGGACTATTGTCCTCATCTTCGTCGCCATATTTATCACTCTTCATTATCTGTCTATATTTCTGAGATGAGGTATTATGTACACTATTTACATTATTCGGACTATTGTCCTCATCTTTGTCGCCATATTTATCACCCTAGAATATCTGTCTATATCTCTGAGATGAGGTATTATGTACACTATTTACATTATTCGAACTATCGTACTCATCTTTGTCGCCATAGTTATCACCCTTCAGTATCTGTCTATATTTCTGAGATGAGGTATGTGGAACTAGAACAGTCTAGGGTTCAGTTCGACATTCCAACCATCTGAAGAAGGCCGGAGCTTATAAAGGTCGAAGCATTGTAATAAATATGGTGAAAAGATGAGGACAATAGTCCGAATAATGTAAATAGTGCTCTGTCGACAATTTTGCAAACCAGGTTCACGTCAAAGATAATCTTGATAATGGGTTCTCTCCCAAGGTAACTACCTTCTTCCGGTAAAACGTCAGGGTCAGTGTTCCTATTGATATTTTCTGGATACGGTGGTCAAGCACGAGCCCTCATGGTTACCGTGAAACTGTATTCGCTACTCGAGAATTTTCACGAGCATGTAACACGCAACTCATCTCCGTTGATTTGGATCTGCTGGGACTACTATGTCTAGGGTGTCCTCAAAAAGGAGGCCAAAAAGCTGCGGCACAACGACATACTGATGTTCACCTCTGGAATGTGATGACCAACAAGAAGGAGAAACTTTTTGTCAGGAGTCTAGAATTGTTTCCATACTGATGCCGTCATTAAGGTTGAGGACGATTTTATTAAACTAACCTTTTCTGTTTTTCACATTAAATGTGTATATAAATATATATTGTATTGCATTCCCTAGACTACTGTGTCTATGATGTCGTCAAAAGAGAAGCCAATCAGCTGCAACACAATACCAAGGACTCAATGAAGGCCACTATTGGGAATACGGTGACCAATATGAACGAGAACCACCTGATTTGGGTATACAGTTCCGTCAGAGGCCATACTGATGCCGTCATTGAGGTTGAGGACGATTTTATTAAACTAAATTTTCTGTTTTTTTCACATTGAATGTGTATATAAATATATATTGTATTGCATCCCCTAGAATACTGTGTCTATGATGTCGTCAAAAGAGAGGCCAATCAGTTGCACCACAATATCAAGGACTCAATGAAGGCCACTATTGGGAATACGGTGACCAAGATGAACGAGAACCACCTGATTTGGGTATACAGTTGCTTCTGAGGCCATACTGATGCCGTCATTGAGGTTGAGGACGATTTTATTAAACTAACCTTTTTTGTTTTATGTAAATATATATTGTATTGCATCCCTAGAATACGGTGTCTATGATGTCAAAGAGGCCAATCAGCTGCAACACAATACCAGGACTCAATGAAGGCCACTATTGGGAATACGGTGACGAACATGAACGAGAACCACCTATTTGGGTAATATATGCCGTCATTGAGGTTGCATATTATTAGAATAAACTTGTTTGTTTTTTTTTACATTGATGTTTAAAAAGATATATTAGAGCTAGACTATGTGTCTATGATGTCAAAGAGGCCAATCAGCTGCACCACAATACCAAGACTCAATGAAGGCCACTATTGGGAATACGGTGACCAACATGAACGAGAACCACCTGATTTGGGGTATACAGTTCCTTCTGAGGCCATACTGATGCCGTCATTGAGGTTGAGGACGATATTATTAAAGTAAACTTGTTTGTTTTTTTTACATTGAATGTTTATATAAAGATATATTGTATTGCATCCGCTAGACTACTGTGTCTATGATGTCGTCAAAAGAATCAGCTGCACCCTGGCCAAGGACTCAATGAAGGCCACTGCACCACCAACATGAACGAGAACCACCTGGTTTGGGTATACAGTTCCTTCTGAGGCCATACTGATGCCGTCATTGAGGTTGAGACGATATTATTAAACTAAACTTTTCTTTGTTTCCACATTAAATGTGTATATATATATATATTGTATTGCATCCGCTAGACTACCACCTATGATGTCGTCAAAGAGAGGCCAATCAGCTGCACCAGTTCCTTCAATGAAGGCCACTATTGGGGAATACGGTGACCAACATGAACGAGAACCACCTGATTTGGGTATACAGTTCCTTCTGAGGCCATACTGAGGACGTCATTGAGGTTGATTAATATTATTAAAGTAAACTTGTTTGTTTTTTTTACATTGAATGTTTATATAAAGATATATTGTATTGCATCCGCTAGACTACTGTGTCTATGATGTCGTCAAAAGAGAGGCCAATCAGCTGCACCACAATACCAAGGACTCAATGAAGGCCACTATTGGGAATACGGTGACCAACATGAACGAGAACCACCTGATTTGGGTATACAGTTCCTTCTGAGGCTATACTGATGCCGTCATTGAGGTTGAGGACGATATTAAAACTAAACTTTTCTGTGTTTCCACATTAAATGTGTATATAAATATATATTTTATTGCATCCGCTAGACTACTGTGTCTATGATGTCGTCAAAGAGGCTCACTGCCACAATGTCAGGACTCAATGAAGTCCACTATCGGTGACCAACATGAGAGGCCACCTGATTTGGGTATACAGTTCCTTCTGAGGCCATACTGATGCCGTCATTGAGTTGAAGACGATATTATTAAACTAAATTTTTCTGTGTTTCCACATTAAATGTGTATATAAATATATATTGTATTGCATCCCTAGACTACTGTGTCTATGATGTCGTCAATGAAGGCCACTGCATATCAGGGACTCAATAAGTCCACTGGTGACCAACATGAACGAGAACCACCTGATTTGGGTATACTGTTCCTTCTGAGGCCATACTGATGCCGTCATTGAGGTTGAGGACGATATTATTAAACTAAACTTGTTTGTTTTTTTTACATTGAATGTTTATATAAATATATATTATTGCATCCCCCAGAATACTGTGTCTATGATGTCGTCAAAAGAGGCCAATCAGCTGCAACACAATACCAGTTCAATGGACCTATATTGTGAATACGGTGACCAAGATGAACGAGAACCACCTGATTTGAATACGGTTCTGACCATACTGATGAATTGAGGTTGAGGACGATTTTTAAACTAACCTTTTCTGTTTTCACATTAAATGAAAATATATTGTATTGCATCCCTAGAATACTGGGTCATCTGATTCAGCTGGGACTCAATATATTATTGTGAATACGGTGACCAACATGAACGAGAACCATCTGATTTGCGTATGCAGTTTTCTGAGGCCATACTGATACCGCATTGAGGTTGAGGACGATATTATTAAAGTAAACTTTCCTGTTTTTCACATTAAATGTATATAAATATATATTTTGTATTGCATCCGCTATTGTCTATGATGTCGTCAAAAGAGAGCCAATCAGCTGCACCACAATACCACTCAATGAAGGCCACTATTGTGAATACAGTGACTAACATGAACGAGAACCACCTGATTTGGGTAAAGAGATGCCAATCATTGAGGTTGAGGACGATATTATTAAACTAAACTTTTCTGTGTTTCCACATTAAATGTGTATATAAATATATATTGTATTGCATCCGCTAGACTACTGTGTCTATGATGTCGTCAAAGAGAG